CTTGTCTTTTAGAAACACTCTGTATCATTCAAGGCTCTCCAACTAACACAGAACCAATAGGAGATAAACACACACACAGATATATATGTGTAAATACATACATATATATATATATTTTTTTTTAAGTAGAGGGAGATTTATTTCAATGATTTGGCTATTGCTGTTGTGGGAACTGGCAAGTTTGAAATTTGCAGGGTAGGCCAGCAGACTAGAAACTTAGGCAGGAGTTGTGCAGTTGTAAAGCAGGTACTGCTTCTCCAGGAAAACTCAGCTTTTGCTCTTAAGGCATTCAGCTGATTGGATGAGGTCCACTGCATTATTGAGAGTAAACTCCTTTACTTAAAATCAACTAAATGTTAACCATAGCTATAAAATACCTTCACTGTAACTACTAGATTAGTGTTTGATTAGATACTATAACTTAGCCTAGTTGACATGCAAGACTGACAATCATACCCTCCCTTGTTTCCTCACATCTGTCTAGCTACAATTTCATTTCTTTCAAAGAATTATTTCTGTTCACTGTCTTTGCTCATTCTCCCTCTTCTTACTCTTTGAACCCACTCTAATCAAGTTTCTATTTTTACCACTCCAATGCCTCTACTCTTGTTGAGGCAAACAGTTACTGTATTTTGCCGTGTATAATGCGCACCCATGTTTTTGGATCAAACTTTTAGGGAAAAAAATCTTTCATTTTAATTTTTTAATTCAATTTTTAAATTTTTATTTAGATAGGTTTTTTTGGTATTATAAAGGAATTTTAGCATTTATTTTTGAATATACAGATATCATTATTGCTTTTCAGAGTTATACTTTTAATGCATAAGAATAAATAAAATAATGAAAAACATATAGATACAGAATTAGTACTACCCATGTATAATGCACATCCTTATTTTTCCCTCAAAAATTTGGACAAAAAAATGAACATTACACATGGCAAAATACGAGACCTTCTTATTGTCAAAATCACCAGGCAACTCCCAGTTACCGTTTTCTTGCTTGAAACACATAGCTGCTTTCTCCTTGAAGCACTGTAATTGCTTGTTTTCTGAAATACCACACTGTCCTGGTTTATCTTAGAAAGTTAAACTCTAAATACTGAAACTATCTCAGGACTGAATCTTCATTCTTTATCTTTTGTCCTCATTTACTCCCCAGTGAATATGCTGAAAACCAATTCCATAATTATTTCTATTACAATATAATGGTGGGAGAGGTAATATAGTCATGTGAGTTAAAATTTAAAATTTAAAAACCAGTTAAATGACAAAATCACTTTTTCACTCATGGCTTTCCACTTCCCTGAAGGCAGCCAGTTGCCAGTTTCTTATGTATCTTTTCATATTTTATGAAAATAATAGTACATGCATATTCAGGGAAAGAGAGTATGCTGTAATGGTTTAGAACTTGAATTATGGAGCATGATTGCCTATCCAAATTCTATCTCTGCCAGTTACTGGCTATGTAACTTGCAAGTCTCTTAGCCAGTCTGTGCCTCAGTGTTCTCTTTGGTAAAAAGTGATAATTATAATAGTATTTACTTGATAGGGTTGTGAGATATAAATGAATAGGTAAAGAACTTAGAGAAGTGACTGGCATATAAAAATAAATAACATTCCCTATTTTGCATAAATAATAGCATACACACTGGCAGGCATCTTGCTTTCTCTCATAAACAAATATCTTGGCAGCCTTGCCTTTTCACCTCATAAATCATGCTACTTTTTTCTAATGGCTGAATAATTATCCATTGGATGGGTTGTACCATCCAGTTTTTTTTTTTTATCTAAATACCAATATCTTTGATAATAACTTCCAAATGTTATTTCTATTAGGCGTTTCTACTTTGATACCTAATAAGCACAAAACTGTAAGTTACCCATGTGTTTTCTACTTCCCTCATTGTCTACCTTATAATCTATTATATTCTTCTAGCACTGCCTTCAAAATATACTTTACATCTAAACATTTCTCTCTACCTATTGCTATAACTGGTATCTAAGCCAGCATTGCTTTATTGCGTTGCTCAAAGCAAAAATCTTGAGAATCATCATTGCAAATTTTTGTGAAAATATTTCTAGCTCTCTTTTGGTATTCTGCTTGGTCTCTTTCTGTACTTTTACTATTCTATAGTCTATTTAGAATATAAATCAGAGTATTTCTCACCCACCACAAATCTTTTAGTGGGTCTTACCTCATTTAGATTTAATCCTGAGAACTTACTTGATTCTAGTAGAACCAGTAATGTGGCCTCTTGATTTTCTCCTCAACCTCATCCTTTGCTTCTACCTATTTCAGTGCTTTAACTACACTAACCACTTTTTTCTTTTATGTGCCCTCCTTGTAACAGGTTACCTCATAACATTTGCACTTTTTATTCTCTTTCCTTATAGAACACTGTTCTGTCATACAGTCAGTTGCTCATTCACTCACTTCATGCTCAAACATCAGCTCTTCAGAGAGGCCTTCTTGCCTGACCACCCTCTTTACTCTCTATTCTTTTAACTATATTTTATATTTTTAAACCATACTTTAGTTTTTCTTTATAGATTTTTCATTAACTGGCATATTTTTCATTTGTATATCATCTGTTTGTTCATTGTATTCTCACTAGAATGTAAAAAGTCATGAGAGCAGGTACTGTCTTGTTCATTTTTGTACTTCTAGTACATGGAACATTTCTCAGTGTATGCTGGATTGACAGATGAATGGGGCAGCATGAAACAAGCGCTTCTTGAACTCTGTGGTGAAAGACTAGTTTTTTTAGTTACCAATCTTTTATAATCTAGTACTTTGTAAAATATAATAAAATGATTTTCAAAAGAAATACAATATATGTTTTGTGTCATTTCATTATTAGATTCAAAAGACATAGATTGTTCTGTTAGATTGTTATGAATATTTCTAAAAACTTACTTTTCTTTTTAAAATGAACTGGCAACAAGCCGTTTGTTGTTAGCATCTGTTTGCAAATCCCAATTCTGAGTAGCACAAGTTTACCATTTTATAGTACCAGAACAAGTGCAAGATAGCACTTAGTATGTGAAAGATAAATGAAGTATTCCTTTCTATGGTAGACAAGAAGAAACCACTTAAAAGCCCTTGTTACAGAATCTAGGCTGAATTTCTGCAGGATCAATATTAATTTATAAAATGGTTCTGTTAATAATGCCAGTAAAATTTAGTTAGTGCTCCTGCTATGCAGAAATGAGTCTTTTAGTAGACTCATTAAGACATCACAATGCCTATGTTGTATCTGTGTCATTTATTTATATGTTGGTGTGTTAAATAAAAATTTCAATAAAGTTTAGATTTTATGGATTCATAATATTTTTCTGAAAATATATTGATCATTTTGCATTTTTCATTCCTTTAGTGTGTTGATTCATTTTGTTTATATATCTAGGATGGGTGGAGGGTCATTACACAATGACATTTGGAGTTTGGGATCTGGGTTCACAAGGAGATAACGTAGCTGAAAGCAAAAGCTATTAAATTCAAGAAAATTTGTGTCTCAGCTACCACTGATGAATTCCAGCCAGGATTTGGTGTTAATTTTAGTGCTTTCCAGTTCCTTGATTTTTAGAGTACTAGAAGTATATGATGAATTAGGCTTCATTGGGGAAAACTTTGTATGCTCAGGATATGCTCTGTTAAATGTTATTCCCGACTTGGGCAGTTTGAATGCCTCTGATCCCTCCTGTCTTTGAGCCATTCTCCTTTTTTATACAGATTAATTTAAAAAGTACTTTAACCTTCATCATATTATCAGGTATTCTACTGACAATGTGTAAAATTCTGTAAAATAGCTGGCCTCTATTTTAGTATTTCTCAATTTACTCTATTAAGACATTGTGTCTTGGGAAAAAGAAAATATTTTTATTAAATGCATTTCTAAACAGTCTCTAACTTAAGTACATTTGTTTTCAGTATTTGTGCCTGATCCAGTATTTTGGTTTAAGGGCAGTAGCAATCACTGTTAACATGGAGTTAGCCAAAATGTAGATAGAGTTGCAGAGTAACAAGAGAGTATGGGGCAGTTCAGGGGCAAGGGGTGTAGAAAGATACGTAGATAGAGAGATATAGCATCCAAAGGCAGTAGTGACATTTTAAAAGAAGTGCATGCTCATATTTAGTTATGGATATGTTTGAAGATAAGTGGATCAGTTTTTTTCAAAACATTGATCACTTCATTCTTTATAACTGAACATTTGTATTTGCAGATAAATAACTTAGAAGGAAAAAAGGGAAATTGTTTTATCAGCACATATCTTTTTATTCCTCTACCAATATTTGGTACATTTTCACCATCTCAGTAATGTAAATAATATGAATAGGCAAAAGTTTCAGGTTTAGGTCATGCTTCTTTCTCAGAGGACTTGAAAAGGAGGTTTGAAAATATTCAACAGGATTTATAAATACAAGTGAACATTGAAAAGTACATTAACACTGTGACTGAGGAAAATAGGTCAATCAGAAATTCACAGAATACATTTTTAATAATTCTAATGAGATTGGTAGGATCAGTACAGGCAGAGGAGCATCGTTGGGGTACAGATTATGAACTGATTATGAACATCTGAGGCACCTTTGATACATCTAAGTAAAAAAGGTATTGAGGAAGCAATTGTATACACAGGCCTGATGGTCAGAATATTAGTATGCTTTCACTAAGGTGTGTGTATTTGAGAACTAGGGAGATGGGTTGTAGAAGATAACTACCTAAATCCACTTTGCTGATGATTAGGATGAGGATGTTTTTAAGAGAGAAATGTTAATGAGTCAGACTATAGTGACACTGATGCCAAAAAAAATTATGTTGCAGACTAAACTGACAACTTCTATAAAATAATTTTTATTTTTAACTGAAATTGTGCCTGGATTGTAAAACAGGAATTGACTAGTTTCTTTTCATCTGTTTCTGTTATGAATTTGTAATCTTATGGATGAAGGTGTGATTCATAGTTGAATACTGTACGTCTTCCTTCATTTCGTAGCCATGAAGCTCATGACTGCTTTGGTGAATGTTGCCTTAAACCTAAGTATTCATCAGGATAATACACAGAGACAGTATGAAGCTGAAAGAAATAAAATGATTGGGAAAAGAGCCAATGAAAGATTGGAGTTACTACTTCAGAAACGCAAAGAGGTAAGTTTCATGGTATCTGAAATTCTTATGTTCTGTAAATCTGTAAAAAAATACTTTTTTATTCTCTGTAAAACAGTTTATTTTTTAATTTACTTTTTTAAGTTATATTATTTGATTTCAGAGTTTTTAAATTAAACTACAAAGTTCAGCCAGTGATTTCTGAGTGCTGTCTGGTATCAGAAGAGAATTACAGAACGATCTTAATTTTGAAAGTAGTATGGGAGTTGCGTATGAAATAGAGGTTTGAAAATATTCAACATACTTAATTCATTAAGATTATCAGGCTATGGACACAGAAAGCATGATAAAAATCAACATCAGAAATAAGGGCCAGCAAAGCCTGCATTTCCAGGAGAAAACCAAAGACTACTTACTATCTAAATGTATAAGGCATTCTCATGAATAAGATTGGTCCTAGTTTTACTAGTTTTATAATGAAATTTTTACGTATATGCTGAAAGTGATTTTAAGCTGAGATATTAGTAGATAATATTTTTATTCATCCACTAAGAAATAAAATTTTAGATCTACAGTATTAGTCTATTTTAACTTGAAAAAGGATTATCACATTGCTACATATAGATTGCTATCAGTGACTGATGGGTTATAATAGACAACAAGAAACAACAAGCTTACGATTAAATTATTATCCGTTCTGCATTGGCATGTATGGCTACTGTAAGAGATACCACAAACTGAGTGGCTTATAGAAAAGGAATTTACATAGACCTATAAGTAGGTCTGCCCTACTTCAGTATGACCCGGTCTTAACCTATTTACATCTGCCACACCCTATTTCCAAATAAGGTGTGATGTACTGGATTAGCACCGTAACATATGAATTTATGAGTAGCACAATTCAACTAAAAACACATACCATGTATGAAATACTATGGGATTAAATTTTAGAGCTGTGGCTTCAATAAGTACTGCTAACCGAACATGTAGTTCTTGTAAAGAAATAATTTTTTTAAATAATAAATGAAGGAAAAACTTTTTCTTTCTTTAAGATTTTATTTATTTATTTATTTTTAGAGAAAGGGGAAGGGAGGGAGGAAATGAGGGAAAGAAAAATCAATGTGTGGTTGCCTTTCACACACCCTGTCCTGGGGACCTGGCCGCAACCCAGGCATGTGCTCTGACTGGGAATTGAACCAACAATCCTTTGGTTTGTAGGTTGGTGCTCAATCCACTGGGCCACACCAGCCAGGGTGGAAAACTAGCTTTTAAAACTTAGAGTAATTTGCAATAATTTGAATTCTTTAATGTAAAAGTATTCTTAAACTTATTTCAGTAAAGCCTGAAACAAAGTATACAGGGAAAGAATAAGTCTGAAGGAATAAACCTGAGATATTTTGTCACATTGGAGTATGCAGTTAAAGCCAGTATTTCACTGAGTATTAATTTTTTTAAAAAATAGAATAAGAAATAACACCTTGAATGTAATTTTGTATCAGTAGTTTTGTTCCTTCTGAGTAGTGAATAAACCCAAACTTTGAACTGATCAACAGCGTTGCCTAAAATTTATTATCTTTGCTATATTGTTTTATTTTGTTACTACATTCTACCTCTGATGGATAGGATCCTTGTTAACTTCTCATATAATATGCCTGCCATACTTGGAACTTGGCCTACTCACAGTTCAGAGTCATATTTGGATACTTTGGGTAGATTTGGAAGTTTCTTCTGCAGTATTAAGTATGATAATCATGGGTGATCAGTTACCAAGAAAGGCAAAACCAAGCCATGGACCTGGTTTGGACAAAAGAAGCATAGAAATTCCTTGTTCCCAAAACAAATATTTTGGAGATAGGAATCTCGCTGCACTTGTCAAGAGAGACAGAGGAGGTTCTAAAAGCCACTGTAGTATAGCTGTAGAAATAATGCAAGAATGTTGGTAAAATCAGGTATCCATTGCACAGTAAATGAGAAAAAGGATTTATAAATTACCCAGCATGAGAATAACCAGTTATTTAAAGCAGTTGGAACTTTTCATTTTATATTAGCGATTTTCAATTGGTATGCCACAAAAATTTTAAAAACACGCAGTACCTGACTAATCAGGGGCATTGAACTTTTTTTCCCTTAGATTGTTAAATTAAAAAATGACAACAGCCAACACGAAAATACCCGTCTGTTGTGAATGAATCAAAATTATATCTTTTTTTGTCAGACCAGCAAAAAATATATATTTTTGGTGTGCTGAAGAATTTTAATAGTTTGTGACATGAAATGAAAAAGTTTGAAAATCATTGTTCTAAACAATATAATGAACATCTTAATTTATTTTTTATTTCAGCTACAAGAAAATCAGGATGAAATTGAAAATATGATGAACTCTATTTTTAAGGGTATATTTGTTCATAGATATCGGTAAGAAATTTTTTTTAATCTTTTTTTTTTTTTTTTTTTTTTTTTTTTTTAGATTTTATTTATTTATTTTTAGACAAAGAGGACATGAGAGAGAAAGAAAGGGAGAGAAACATCAATGTGTGGTTGCCTCTTATACACTCCATACTGGGGACCTGGCCCACAACCCAGGCATGTACCCTGACTGAGAATCGAACTGGTGACCCTTGGGTTCGCAGGCTGGCACTCAATCCTCTGAGCCACACCAGTCAGGGAAGATTTTAAAAATTATTTTGATTTTTAACTTATAATTTATTCCTTCTTTGTAGTCCTGGGTAGTTAAAGATACAAAACTCTGTCTTGTTTTCTGGAGAACAGCTTTGGCTATAAAAGGTAAATAAATGTCATACTGTAACAGTGGAAGAATGTGTACCACCGCCACTACCACAGTCTTCCAAGTTCAGAACTTAACATTCTCAGAGGCACCCTTTGTACTTGCGTTTGTATTGGTAGGATATTAATAATGTAGTCTTAAATTACTGCAACCATAATAAGATGTGATTGTTTTGATATTTGAAAAAATTAATTGCATTGCATCCTGTCCTGTGGTACTCATCTTGTTCCATAAAAATTAACCAACAGTCTGTGAAGATGGAGAAAAGGGCACCTCTGCAGATACTGCAACAACTTTGTAACATTACTTTTCTTTGCCTTCAGTTGTATGCATCAAAGTAGAAGCAGAGTATCTCCAAAGTATTTTTGTCATGCTATATTGTAAATGATTTAGTTTGTCTTTTTGTGAAACCTGTGAACTTTAAAAATATTTAACTACATTATTAAAGAACATATTTCACAAGAATTAATGACTCATATACACACATTTGTTACTGTTTGTTACCGATATGTTTAGTTAGACAGACACAGATAATAGAAGCATTGTCTTTAGACACATTCGAGACTTTATTTGGCCAGTTAATTTAAAAAGTTTCTTAAAACAGAAAATTGTTTTTATTTTTATTTAATTATTTATTTGTTTTTGGAGAAGGGAAGGGAGGGGGAAAGAGAGTGAGAAAAACATTGATGTTTGAGAGGAACATCCATCGGTGGCCTCTCACATACCCCCAACTGGGGACCTGGCCCGCAACAGAGGCATGTGCCCTCACCAGGAATCAAACCAGCAACCTTTCAGTTTGCAGGCCAGCACTCAGTCCACTGAGCCACACCAGCCAGGGCCAGGGAAATTGTTTTTATTATTTGTTTGTTTGTTTGCTTTTAATTTAATCTTTATTATATTTTTTCCATTACCATTTAGTCACCTTATACTCCCCTACCCTGTAGGAAAATGTTTTTTAAAAGAAACTTTGATATTTTAATTTAAACATTTTGGTTTAATTCAAATATAAAAAAACCTTTTGACTAGGGCCAAGACCTTTATTTTGAGTATGAATTGTCTCATTGGAGTTTCATACCCTCTTTTCTTGTGTAAATTACACACACTATAATAAGTTACTGACAAATTTATTTGAAAGAAAACCCTAAAAATTAAATATACCTGCAATGCATTCTTTTTTTAATATACAAGTTTATAGAGGTATAATTAACATAAAGTAACCTGCATGTTTAAGTGCACAATTTGATGAGTTTTGACATATATATGCATATGTATAACTGCCACAGGCATGATAGGTCTGTCCAGAAAGTGTCCAGCCATGTAATATGAAAAATAGAGAGATTTATTGAGGAAGATACCAGAAACATTGTACATAGTACAATGACACCTCAGTCCCCTTCAAAGTAGACACCTTGAGACCTCACACAGTTCTTACAATCATCATCAGCTCCCCTGTTGTATTTTCCTGAATCTCATCGACGGTCTGAAACCTCTTCCCTTTGAAAGGTGATTTTAGTTTCAGGAAAAGCCAGAAGTTGCAGGATGCCAAATCTGGGCTGCACGGGAGCTGAGTCTCCTGGGTGATTTGCTGTTTCTCCAGAAAATTCTGCGAGAGATAGGATGCATTAGTGGGCATGTTGTCATGATGAAGCAACCAGTCAACAGTTGCCCATAGCTGCGGCCTTCTGAATCATCTGACTAGTTTCCACAGAGGATTGTTCAAGCTTAACATAAAATTTTCTGCAGATCGGTTGCTCTACTCACTCAGTCATTTTAAATGTGGTGGCCACATAGTACACATGCTCACTCAATGGCATCCACCACCCCACTGACTAATATAGTGAAACCATCATTGTTCACAGATGTGCATTCCAGTCCACTCCCCTTGGCTGCCAGGTTACATTGATGTTGGGCAAACTGTTTACATTACATTAACAAGGGCTGGACTTTTTCTGGACAGACCTTGTACTTTGTACTGTTGAGGAGACAATTAGTAAATTAGAATATAATACTACAGAATTTACCCAGGCATAGAATAAGGGATAGAAAATAAGGAATGACATTTCTAATACATGGGGGGTTGCGTGGAGTCCTCAGAGGATTTTAAATAAAGAGAAGTATTGGAAAGAAGTATTAATGAGATAATGGAAATTTTACAAATTTAATGTCAAAAACTTTTTAGATTGAAAATACTTAGTGAGTGTTAGGTCAAGGAAAATTTTCCACATCTATACATATTCAAAATACAAAATGTCAAAGATCATGAGAAAGCCATAAAAGCAACCAAAAAAAGAAAGACTAGTTTTAGTGTTGGTAAAAAGAATTTAAAAATTATTGGGCTGTAAAAATAAACTCAATGGAAGAAGAGTTAACAGGAAAGATTTCAACAGTTTTTAGAAGAAGTGGATGTCTTTTATTTTCTAGTTGTTTTTGTTTTTTTTTAAGACTTTAGTTATTTTTAGAGGGAGGGGAATGAAAAGAGAAAGATAGGGAGAAGAACACCGATGTGTGAGAGAAACATAGATTGGTTGCCTCTCGCACACCCCCAACCAGGGACGTGGCCTGCAACCCAGGCATGTGCCCTGACTGGGAATCAACCCAGTGACCTTTCAGTTTGCAGGCTGGTGGTCAATCCACTAAGCCACACCAGCCAGGGCAAGTTTTCATTCATTTCTGTTAAAGGGAAACATTTCAAAAATCATGTTTTCCCAGCTCTTCTTACAGAAGTCCATGAAATGATTTATTGTGAGAAAATTGTCCTTTTATTCTTTTAATCTTTTTATTTCCTAACATTTTATCTTTGACCTAACCTGTGTGTCAGGTTGATAATTAAAATATAAATATTAATGCAAGATTTTTCTTTGAGTGTTTATATACATTTGACATTAAGGTTTTAATCTTATGCCTAAAATTCTGTTAATAATAAAATTAAGGTGTAATATACGGTAACACATAGCCATATCATCTGCTCTGTATGAGACCCTATGTCTGCCTTTCTACTTCTTTTAACGCTATTGTCACTAATGGATAATACAACAAAAAATGAGATGAGAAATATTTCCAGTTTTATAAATGTATTAAATTTCTAAAGACTTTTAAATAGCTGCTCATTCTGAAATAATGCAATGAAATATATAGATTTAATTAGCAAACAGGAAAGTATCAGCTCTCCTCAAGTCTGCACTTAAACATTACTATCTCTCAAAAGACTTTCTTGACCCTTGTTATTACCCTCCATCATTTACATGCTTGCTTGTTCTTTGTACTCCTCTGTACTAACATTTGACACTCTTCAAGATACTTATTTTATTCATCTTTTTATTCTCAAGTTCTTGTTCACAGTCTAATAAAGGATAGTATGACTTTTAAGTAATTCCTTCATCTGTTTCTTTCTCCCCTAGACTACTTTTTTTTTTTAATTCTCTATAGTTGTTCTCTTTTGGAAAATGTAATTTTTTTATCCAAATATTAGTGGCAAAATTGTTTAAGATATGAATTCATTGTGTGCTACAATTTAGATAGCAGACCTTCTTGAAGCTTGTAATTATTTCTCAACTTAGAGCAGTCATGAGATGTTTTGTACATGAGAGATAATTGTACTTGTCAAAACAGCTATATTAGCCAAGAGTTTTTTCTCTGAAATTTGTATTGTAGTCATTTTAATTTATTCTACTTTCTTACTAGGAAAGCACCTTTAAGGGTAGTTGTACAAGAAACATTTAATTAAGATTCATTCCATTTCTTTTTGTTGTAAGCAGAAAATATTTGAATTCCATCTGCCAAGAAAGTAATTCAAAATGAAAACTTAAGTCCAGGTATTAAATTAAAGGCCCATGTTTTCCAAAAAAGACATTAACTGTGATGATCAGTAAATTAGATATGTTTTTCATAGAAAGGAAACACAATTATTTTTTATGCTGTAATAATAGAGTTACAACAAAGGATTTTGCCCCACAATTATACTCTTCTAGCTTTATTTTTATTTCTCTGAGTTTTTAGGTAAAGTGTATCCTGACTTTATTTTTAGTTGTTCAAGTCTCCAGTACCAGAAAGCTATGAAAGTTAGTCCATGTTATGATTGCTTTAAAACTTTCCTATTGTCTTACTTTTTTGTTGTCTACTTTAATCTTTGCTTTGGGAACTTCCAGCACCTACAGCTAAACATTACCTTTTTAAATGGATTGAGACCATTGGAAATAAAGATTAAAGTATTAAAAAAGAAATGATGTATGAAGATCAAGGGTTTCTTCATTTCAGAGTTTTGAGGACTTTTCTGCAGGAGAAAAATGTCTTTAAAATCAAAAGATATATTGTAATTAAATCAGAGAATATTTAGAAACGCTCTGCATTTTTATTTTATCGTTTATCTACTTATATAGGATGTTAGTTCCCAGAGCTTAAGAAGGCTTTTAGGAGTCTAGTAGGCAAGACAAAAAGGCATTTGAAATTACAATTGGACTTAGAGATTCTTATAAAAAATATATTGTAGAAGATTTCCCTACTGAAATAAAGCTGAATATTTATATTAGGAATTAGCCATCCATAAATTCAATTCCATCCATAATTTCAGTAACATTGGTAATAGTGATGAATGGAAGAATGATTGAGCTGTGTACGTACCAAGTTACCATACTTAGTCGTCACTATGGTTTTAAATAGTTTACTATACGTATTCATTTTGTCTTCAGTCTGCGTTCCTGAAATTATGCAGCCTGTTTTTTGCATTTTGGGGTTTCTTTATTTATTTGTTTTTTTGGCATTTGGATTTATTTTTATAAAGTAATACAGCAGAGAATAAAAGTGCACTGATCTCTAAGAGATCACTACTTAGTAGGATTCGAAAAGCTAATAAAATGCTGTCATTTGGGTATTTAGTGGTTGTGCTCTTCTTTTATTTGGACAGCCCAGTAGAGAAGACAGTACATCAATTTGTAGTTTACAAAGATGGAAGTTCATATTAAATAGAACAATACCAGGTATCACGCAAGGATGTATGAAACATTGATTTATGGAGAAATGGTTAAAACTAATGAAACTGAAAATGTGTACTCTTTGTCACCTAGTAATTTCACTTCTAGGTACTGTAAAAACAATGTCTTACTGACTTAGTTGACCATGTCCTACATTAGGTAAACAGTGTTCCAAGAAAAGAATACTTACTTGCCTTTCCACATGTTAAGCGTTTTAGTATTTTATATCCTAAATACTTTGATGTTTTTGTTTCTGCTCAATAAATTTATTTCATCTTGTACGCTGTTTGAAAACCCTACCTTAGGGAAACTCTCAAACATGTGCACAAGGAGACAATATATAGAAATGTTCATGGCATTCATTGTTAATAAAGACAACCTATATATCAATGAAAGAATGTATAAATAATTTGTAAAATATTTATAGAAAGGAACACTGAACATCAGTTAAAATTAACACATTGGAACTGGAGCTCTCTGAATCAGTATGTTTAAGTGTCATAATATAATTTGTGAGAAAATACCTGGAGAAGGTCCCTTTAGGATATTAAATATGAAAAGTTCCAAAATACGTATAACAGTTGATAAAAAGTTAAAGCATAATGATACAGATGGGAATTATAGTCATTGAGTCAAGCATAGTCATTTATTCTTGGGGAGGGAGATACTTCATTGAGAAGTATATAGAAGGTTTTAATTGTAGTATTTTAGTTCTTAATTTAAAAGAACAAATAGTTTAATTTTTATTATATTGTCTCTAACTTTTATGTCAATAAGCGGTATATAGAAGGTTTTAACTGTAAATATTTGGTTCTTAAAAGAACTAAAATATTAGTTGAGTTATTTTTATTATATTGTCTCTATAACTTTTATATCTGACATTTTTCATATTAAGAAAAAAGAAATGTCCTTGAGCCATTTATGTTTAGTATTATGAAGGTCTAGGAACATCCTTCATATTTGTAGTAAAGCTACTTTTTATACACTGTTGTCTGTAAATGACTAGGTTGATGGCACTTAAAAGATTATGATAACAAATATTTATGGAAAGTTTAGTAGGCACCAGGCACATTTTCCTCTTATTAAGTGGTTTCATTCTCAGTAACTCTGTGAACTCCATGTACAGTTATTATCCCTATTTTACAGATGAGGAAATCTAAGAAAGAAGGATGTAACTTGCCTAAAGCCACACAGCTAGTAAATAGCAGAGCCAGGATTTGAACTCATGATGTTTTGCTCCAGATTCTGTACAATAAGCCTCTATGCTATAGAATCTCCATGAGAAAAAGGTATTAACTCACAAGAATAATGTAGGAAAACTAAAGATTGTGGTTGGTAGTATGTCTTTGAAAGAGAAAGTTTTTCACATTTTTATTGTTTAGCAGTGGCAGGGTCTTAGAAGGAACTGCAGTTTACTAGAGCAAAGAGTGAAATACTAGAATGCTAGCACCCGTTTTATCACAAAAGAGCAACTAGGAAAGTTCCTTAGTTAACATTAAAATTTCAGCTACCAGTAAATTATTGCCAGATTAATTAATTGACAGATGATTGCTTTGTATTATTTGAATAATTAAAAATTACCTTAAATTAAAACTTATTCACATATGGTAATTCAGAAACTTTGAAAATCAATCTACAAAAGAAAGTTAGGATTCTCTTTATTGTATTTAATATGATTTCTTTTTTAACTAGAGCTAGTAACCTGTTGAAAGATAAGGTAAAAATATTAACATCATAGTTGATCATGATTCACAGATTTGAGAGTAGGAAAATTTTAGGATGGTTTTATTGGATGCTTATAGTGAAAAGTTGTCTGGGTATGGAGCCAGAAACTTGACTTTTAGGGTTGGCTCTACCACCACTTCATAGTGTAGTCACCAAGATTGTTTCCATTGTGACCAAATGTGAATTATTATCCTGTCCTGTGCAGTTACATTAAGGTTTTGGGTTTTGCAAACTCTCATACATTTTCAAATATTTGCTTCTGCAGTTTTGTCTCATAGGTCTATTAGTTTGTGTCTTGGTCATAAAAATTATTTTCTTTGGGTTCATTACATATGTGCCAGCTTAGAAAGATTCGGTTATGTAGAGAAACAATTTTTAAGTTCTACATTATTCTGTACTTGGATGTTGGTACTCTGATTTCCTCAGAAGATTTTACTTATTCATTTACTTCATAATAATTGTGAGGCATTCAGAAACCTCCAAACGTCTAGAGTTCAGATGAGTTAAAAATAAGATGATTTCTAGAGCATTATTTTTCAGTTTGGTATCACTAGTTTTTATTCCACAGCAGCCATAGAAAAAAATAGAAATTCTATTTTGTGGGCCTTTGTTAGGAATAATCTTAATATTTATTGCTTGCTGAAAATGATTGTGAAATACATCATAGCTTTTCATATTAATCAGATATTTGGGTTGTTGTTTTTTTTTTTTCTTACTCCTCTAGTGATGCTATTGCTGAGATTAGAGCCATTTGTATTGAAGAAATTGGAGTATGGATGAAAATGTATAGTGATGCCTTCCTAAATGACAGTTACCTAAAATATGTGGGTTGGACTCTTCATGACAGGGTAAGTTACTCTGTTCCAGGCTTTGATAGAGAGTATGCTATGCTTGCCTTATTACTAGACAATATTTTTAATAGTATGGGAATCTAAGATGATACAGTAAAATAACTTACTCATTTGGACATGATGAAATTTGGGACTCACATCAGCCCACCTGTGAAAACCCTTCTTACTTAGTAGTAATGCTGTCTTAAACAAAAATGGACAGTCTGGTACATAAAGAATTTTAAGAAATTATAATGGGGAAAAGAAGGGGAAGGATCAAATCAAAGAACAAGTGTAAAGGACCCATGGACAAAGCCAAAGTGGGGAAGGACTGGAATCAGAAGAAATTCCTTATTTTTCTTAAACTATAAAAACTAAGCTTTCTGGTCTTGAATTTTTTTAGGCTTATGTCATAGTAGAGTGTTTGTTCTCTGAATTGAATAAATTTGTTGGATTTTAGGATATTTGACTAAAAATAAATGACATTTCTATTTGAAAAGTTTCTGACTTTAAATTGAATTCCATTTTATTGAGTCCTGAATAAGTCATCCTCAAACTATTCAAGAGTAGGAGTGATAAATTATTAGAATTTTTATAAGAATGACTTGACATTCTATAACTTGAATTGCCAGATGTTCACAAATACAGAAGTGTGACAATTTATTTTAAATTGTTATGTTGGCAGGAATAATGGCACTAAGTATTAGACTGGTGGAGTCAGACTAGACCTTGGTTCAGCAGCCTTGGCACTTGATTTCTGGTTAAGAAAGAAAATTTATTTAGAAAGTCACAAAGGTAGAAATAGTTAGTGGTAGAAGAAGCCAGCTCAGGAAACAAGTTACAGAGGCAAAAGAAGGGCCCTTGGACTGTAGGAGAGAGAAAGGTAAAGGTAACATGCCTGAGAGGGGAAGGAAAGTCATGGTTGTGCTCCTGGAAGGGAAAGCAGTATTTGCTTTTCCTCTTGAGACAATTTATCTGGAGGTGTCAGGGAAGGTTCCCAGTAGAAATCAGTTTTCCAGGTGTATCCCTTCAGGGTCCTGGTCTCTACCATTTGGTCAACACCAGAGCAGGTGTCCTTGATGTCAGCCATGACATCACTTGTCTGGTTTTGGTGCTTTACTGGGCCTGCAGCTACAACACAACTGAGGCAGATGTTATCCCTAGGACTTAATGCTTAAGAGAATGTCATGCATGAGGCCACTCTTTGGCCCCTTGTTCCTCCTCCAAGATAGTCTACTGCGTGACCAGCAACATGCCAGGGGAAGGTCCCAACAACATGTCCAATGATATCAAAGGTCAGGGGGTCTAAACCACATGACCAGTGATATCCTAGGGGAGGAAATGTTACCCTGGAGTTGAGGTCCTTGTTTTGCCACTTTTGCTCTTTCCTAAGTGTTAGTTGATCTAACTTGATGCAGGCTGTGAAAGAATTCACAAGGAGAAAAAAGTACAGAGAGAAGAGTTTTTATTCATTTTCCAAGAGTGGAAAGGGGCATTATATGAAGAGAGATATCAGCATTAAGAGATGGGAACTTTGAGCTTTTATTGGATTATAACTGTATTTAAAAAAAAGGTGGGGACATTGCTGTTGTGTGGCACCTGAGCTGTTGGGGGCATTGTAACACAGGAGGTTTTGGTTGGTTTTGCATAAGCTGCAAATTGCTCCAATGTTACCTTTTGCCTGAAGATCTGAGGGGCAGTTAGTCACCTTCTGTTCTTGCTTTACAGTATTTTCCAGTCCTGGAGACATAAGCTCAGAAGAGTAAAATGGCAGTCCTGTTTAACAAGGTCATTAAGCCTGCCAGGCTTATTTGCCACAATAGCAAATAGTGCCAGCTTTTTCATTTCACTAAGCACCCAGGGCTTTCTGCCCTGGTGGCCTTTTATACCTGGCCTGTCATCCTGGCTCTGCTTATGTCTGTCTAACTGCCTACCACAGTTGTAGTTCATTATTTCAATTGTTGAAATTTGTCAAGGCTATTAGAACACGTTTTATTTTTAATTCAATTATATTCTTAGATTTTTAAGGCAAATTTGGTAATGTTATAAAACTTTATCTTACTAGTATCAACTTGTAGAGGATTTACTTTTTAAAGTATTATAAATTTTTTTTCTTTGAAGTATCTTTCTCTGGTTTTGGAATTAAGATAATGCTGGTCTTGTAAAATGAGTTTGGGAGCCTTCCCTAATCTTGAATTTTATGAAATAGTTTGAGGAGAGGTGTTAGTTCTTCTTGGAATGTTTGGTAAAATTCACCTGTGAAGCCATCCATTACAGGGCTTTTCTTGAGAGAGTTTTTTCATTACTGCTTCAATTTTTCTAGGTGAAATCTGCATATTCGCATTTCTCTGATTCTTCCTGATTTAGTTTTGGAAGATTGTCTGTTTCTAGGACTCTGTCACCTTCTACAAGGTTGTCCAATAGGCCACTCTCCCAGATGAACATTGGTGCTAAAATCTTCAACAAAATATTAACAAACTGAATATAGCAGTGCATCAAAAAGATCAGACAACATGGTCAAGTGGGATTTATTCTGGCAATGGAAGGTTGATATAACAATTGTAAATCAATAAATGCGATTCACCACATAAACAAAATGAAGGATAAAATCATATGATCATATCAGTAGATGCAGAAAAAGTGTTTGATAAAATTCAGCACCCATTTTTGGTTTAAAAAAAAAACTCAGCAAAATGGTAATAGAGGGAACATACCTAAATATAATATAAAAGCCATATATGACAAACCCACTGCCAGCATCATACTCAACAGGCAACAACTACAAATGTTCTCTTTAAGATTGGTAACAGGGCAGGGATGCCTGCTTTCACTCCTCTTATTCAACATGGTACTGGAAATTATAGCCATAGCAATCAGTCAGGAAGAAGAAATAAAAGGCATCCAAATTGGAAAGAAGGGAGTAAAACTGTTCTTTTTTTGTAGATGGCATGATACCATACATAGAGAACCCCAAAGATTCCATCAAGAAACTACTAGACCTGATAAATGAATTCAGAAAAGTAGCAGGATACAAAATTGATATCCGGAAATCAGTTGCATTTTTATACGCCAGTAGCAGAACTAACAGGAATGGAAATTAAGAAAGCAGTCCCATTCACAATAGCATCAAAAAAATAAAATACCTAAGAATAAACCTAACCAAGTATACAAAAGACCTGTATATGGAAAATTATAAGACACTGAAGAAAGAACTGGAAGAAGATACAATTAAGTGCAAGTACTTACTGTGCTCATGGATAGGAAAAATTAACATCATTAAAATGCCCATACTATCCAAAGCAATCTTTAGATTTAATGTGATTCCCATCAAGATTCCAAGGACGTATTTACAAAATTAGAACAAATATTTCAAAAATTTATATGGAACCACAAAAGGCCCCACGTAGCAACAGCAGTCCTGAGAAAGAAGAACAGATTTGGAGGAATCACACTATGTAATATGAAATTATATTATAAGGTCATAGTAATCAAAACATCATGGTACTGGCATAAAAACAGATACATAGATCAGTGGAACAGAATTGAGAGCCCAGGAATAAACCCACACCTTTATAGACAATTAATTTTTGACAGAGGAAGAAAGCACACAATGAGCTAAAAGATAGTTTATTCAGCCCTGGCAGTGTGACTCAGTGGATTGCGTGCTGGCCTACAAGCTGAAATTTCTCTGATTCAATTCCTGGTCAGGAAACATGCATCGGATGCAGGCCAGGTCTGAGTGTTTCTCTCACACATCGATGTGTCTTCCTCTCTTTTTCCCTCCCTTCCTCTCTTTCTAAAAATAAATACATAAAATCTTTGAGTAAAGATGATTTATTCAGTAAATGGTGTTGGGAAAAATTGAGCAGATAACATGCAGAAAAATGAAACTAGACCACTTTTTTCCCACATACACAAGAATAAATTCAAAATGGATCAAAGATTTAAATATTAGACCTGAAACCATAAATATCATAGAAGAAAAAAATAGTAAAATCTTGAACATTGATCATAGCAATATTGTATCAGATATATCTCCCCAGGCTGTGGAAACAAAAGGAAAAATAAAATGGGATTACATCAAACTGAAGTTTTTGCACAGCAAAGGAAATCAAAAAAAAAATAAAGAGACAACCCACAGAATGGGAGAACATATTTGCCAATACATCTGATAAGGTGTTAATATCCAAAACTTATAAAGTACTTAACTAACCTCAACACCAAAATACAAACAGCCCAATCAAAAAATGGGCAAAGGACCGGAATAGGCACTTCTCCAAAGAGGACATGCAGATGGCCAATAGACATGAAACGATCCTCAATGTTGCTAATCATGAGAGAAATGCACATTAAAACCACAATGAAATACCATCTCATACCTATCAGAATGGCTGACATCAATAAATCAAGAAATAATAAGTGCTGGCAAGAGTGTGGAGAAAGGAGAACTCTTTTACACTGTTCATGGGAATGCAGACTGGTGCATCCATTGTGGAAAGCAGTATGGACATACCTCAAAAACTTAAAAATGGATCTGCCTTTTGAGCCAGCAATTCCACTTCAGGGAATATATCTGAAGGAACCCAAAACACTAACTTGGAAGAACATAAGCACGCCTATGTTCACTGCAGCATTATTTACAATTGCTAAGCTATGGAAGCAGCCCAAGTGTTCATCAATAGATGAGTGGATAAAACAAGTATGGGAGATTTACACAAGGAAATACTAGTCAGCCATAAAAAAGAAAATTTTACCCTTTGTGACAGCATGGATGGACCTAGAGAACATTATGCTAAGTGAAATAAGCCAGGAGAGAAAGACAAATACCATATAACTTTATTCATATGTGGAATATAATGAACAAACTGAAATAACAAGGAAAATAGAAACAGACTCATAGATAGAAAGCAGAGTGGCAACTAAGATGGGAGGGTAGTGGGTGGAGGAATTGAGCAAAAAAGAAGAAGAAGTTTTGAATACAGACAGCAGTGTGGTGATTGTGATGGGAGGAGTATAAG